ATCCTATGGCAGCTCTGTGTTTAGCTATTTAAGAAACCTCCATACTGCTCTCCACGTGGCTGCACCAATTTACATTCGAACCAACAGTGTAGGAGGTTCCCTTTTCTCCGCACCCTCTCCAGCATTTATTATTTGCAGACTTTTCGATGATAACCATTCTGACTCATGTGAGGTTTTGATTTGCATTTCTCTAGTAATTAGTGATGTTGAGCATCTTTTCATGTGCCTGTTGGCCGTCTTTATGTCTCCTTTGGAAAAATATCTATTTAGATCTTCTGCCCATTTTTTGCTTGAGTTGTTTATATTTTGATATGGAGTTGTATATTTTTGGATATTAACCCCTTGTCAGTCACATCACTTGCAAACATTTTTCTCCCATTCCATAAGTTGTCTTTTCATTTGTTGATTGCTTCCTTGACTGTGCAAATGATTTTAAGTTTAATTAGGTCCCATTTGTTTATTTTTGCTTTAATTTATTTTGCCTTGGGGCCCTGATCTAAGAAAATATTGCTACGATTTATGTCAGAGAGTGTTTCAACTATGTTCTCTTCTAGGAGTTTTATGGTGTCACGTCTTATATTTAGGTCTTTAAATCATTTCAAGTTTATTTTTGTATATGGTGTGAGGGAGTGTTCTGATTTCATTGATTTACATGGAGCTGTCCAGCTTTCCCAGCATCACTTGTTGGAGAGACAGTCTTTTCTCCATTGTATATTCTTGCCTCCTTTATTGAAGATTACTTCACCGTAGGTGGGTGGGTTTATTCCTAGGCTATCTGTTCTATCCATTGATCTATATGTCTTTTTTTGTACCAGTACCATGCTGTTTTGATTACTATAGTTTTGTAGTATGACCTGAAGTCTGGGAGGGTTATGCCTCCAGCTCTGTTCTTTTCCTCAGGATTGCTTTGGCAATTCTGGGTCTTTTGTGGTTCCATATAGATTTTTGGATTATTAGTTCTAGTTTTATGAAAAATGTAACAGGTATTTTGATAGGGATTACATTAAGTCTGTCGATTGCTTTGGGTAGTATGGCCATTTTAACAATATTAAGTCTTCCAGTCTAAGAGCATGGGACACCTTTCCATGTCTCTGAATCACCTTCCATTTCTTTTATCAATGTTCTATAGTTTTCATCATATAGGTCTTTCACGTCTTGGTTAAGTTTATTTTTAGGTATTTCATTTTTTGATGGGATTTTAAATGGGATTATTTGTTTACTTTCCTTTCTGATATTTCATTATTAGTGTAATGAAATGCAACAGATTTCTGTATATTAATCTTTTACCCTGCTACCTTGCTGAATTCATTTCAGGGAACAGAACTTAAAAGTTAAGTAACGTGACCTAGAAACAACCTTACCAATTGCTGCTCCAGGATTCATAATCTGGAGTTACACAAAGTAACCTGGAGTTACATTTTATCCTATGAACTGACATTCGACATCTCAGAAGGCATTATTATTCAGTTGTTCTCTCTAAAACAACGTGAAGTGAAATAAAAACACTAAAACTCATTAAAAAGGATTAGATATCCTCTGCATTACAAAAGTCACAAAAGGTGTGGAAAATCTGGGGGATATTGTATTCAGACGTAGGTTTATCTCTTCAATGTACAAAATATTCTTAAACAGTAGAGTTAGGTCAATGATATCAAGAGCGGATGCACAGAAAAACCACTTGAAAAGAAACCAAACTAAATAAATTAATAGGAAATGAATCATATTAAGCAAACAGGGTTGTCATGATGTACAAAGTAAAATATGATGACCCTTTTACTGCAAAAGAATATATATGAACATGGGTGTATGAGGGTGATTAAATATGTTAGTGCATTACATACAGAGAAAAATCTGGAGAGTAGGCACCTATAAGTGAAGAGAAACTCTCTTTGTATTATGGTGGGCAAAAGGTAGGGACAGATGGGTGTGGCAATGTAATTTTGGTTTCTTAAAACGCATGTCTATATTTTTCCATACGTGTTAAACAAAGAGAAGTATTCATTGGTGCCCTAACAAAGTACTGAGATAAAGTTTTGTTAAACAGGTATATCAGCAGCCAAGTCACAAAATAATAGTGCAGAAATACATTTATTGACTTAGACACTAAACAGATTTCTTTGGTAATAAATCACTGAGTGTGGATTGTTGAAGATAGACGATGTTTTTATTTTATAACTTTGCATTTCTATGCTGTTTCCAGAATGGAAACATTGAATAAAATGTTGAAAATACAAAAGATTGCAAACTGATTACCAATACGCTATTCATATATTCATGGCTTCAGAAGCAGATCAAAAGAATTGATTTGACAGTTTTTTGTATGTGTGTGTATTTGTATACATCCCTTTGCCTCAAATTTCTTTACACCAATTATTCATACACTAACTCATGCAGCTTTCTACTCAGTTCACTTAGGGGCCAGATTTCCAGTCCCAGGGCTTGAAGATCCCAGCATGGGCATGAATACAGAAGGATCGCTGCCAGTGTGAAGTCTAGAAATCTTGCTTTTAGGATGAAATTCATTCCCCTCCCCACCAACACCACAGTCCCTTCCATCCCCCATCCTTTGCCAAGGCCCCAGTTCAGACTTTTACACCTGCAGTTCTGACTCTGGTCACCAGGTGGCATCGCTCTCCATTTTCTACACATTTTTCTTTTTCCCCTCAATGGAAAATATATATTTTAAAAACAGAAGTGAAAAGTTTCCTCAAAGTCTATTGTAAAAAACCAGGTAAAGTGTGATCTTAACTTACTTTGAAACATTCAGATGTGTATAAAAAGACTAAAAGGGCATATGTGTAGTTTCTATCCTGCTTCTCATTCATTTATTAATGTATACTGTGTGTGTACCATGTGACAGGAACTGTCAGTCCAATTCCTTATCTGCATCCCAGCCTCCCTCTTTTCATCTCCAGAACTTCATAACTGGAAAAGCCCCCAGAAGGAGAGAGAATTGACACTATCTTATTTCTGCACATGCCAAAAGGCTTCCACATCTCTTCGCATGGTGAATTAGATATGTTGGAGGGGAGAATTTGTGGGCGGAGGGGTGAACAGCAACACAACTCCTAGGAGTGAAGACAAGGTGAGATATAACCAGGACACTTTCTAAGCGTGACTGTGGCTTCAGTATCCAGTACAGTAGATGTCAGAGTAAAGAAAATGAACAAGAACCAAAGAGAGGCCTTACAGAATGATGAAAGATCAGGACACCAGGGAGACATAAAGATCCTAAATGTGTACGCACCAAACAAAGGAGCCTCAAAGTACATGAAGCAAAAACTGATGGAGCTGAAAGGAGAAAGAGCCAGATCTATAATTATAGTGGGGGCCTTCCACACCCACCTCCCTCTTAGCAAGTGACAGAATTACTAGGGAGAAAATCAGCAAGGATACAGGAGACCTGAATAACACAGTAAACTAACAAGATATACATGACATAAAGAGAACAGTCCGCCCACCAACAGCAGAGTACAGGATTTTCCCGGAGGGTCTCTGTAACATTCACCAAGTTAGACCATCTCCTCGACAATCAGAAAAACCTCAATAAATTCTAAATGAATTGAGGGACTTCCCTGGTGGTGCAGTGGTTCAGAATCCGCCTGCCAATGCAGGGGACACAGTTTTGAGCCAACGTCAGGAAGATCCCACATGCCGCGGAGCAAATAAGCCCGTGCGCCAGAACTACTGAGCCTGTGCTCTAGAGCCCTCGAGCCACAACTACTGAGGCTGCGTGCCGCAACTACTGAAGCCTGTGCGCCTAGAGCCCATGTTCCGCAACAAGAGAAGCCGCCGCAACAAGAAGCCCAGGCACCGCAACAAAGAGTAGCCCCCACTAGCCGCAAGTAGAGAAAGCCCGTGTGCAGCAATGAAGACCCAACGCAGCCATAAATAAAGAAATAAATATATTAAAAAATATAAAAATAGGGGCTTCGCTGGTGGCCCAGTGGTTGAGAATCCGCCTGCGGATGCAGGGGACACGGGTTCATGCCCCAGTCTGGGAAGATTCCACATGCCGTGGACCGGCTGGGCCCGTGAACCATGGCTGCTGAGCCTGCACATCCGGATCATGTGCTCCACAATGGGAGAGGCCACAACTGTGAGAGGCCCGCGTACCGCAAAAAAAAAAAAAAAAAATTAAATATAAAATAAATAAATATAAATGAAAAAGTGAAGAATTGAAATCTCACAGAGCGCTCCCTGGCCACCATGGAATCAAATTAGAAACCAGTTATAGAATGCAAAAAGAAGAATCCCTAGACACTTGGAAATGGTGGTTGAAACATCATTCCAGGTTATCATTCACACCCTTATTATAGAAGGGCTGAAGTTAGGAAGAGTTGCCTGCTGAGCTGAAAGGCATTTCAGGCTGGCCCAATAGAGAGCTCACTCTGGCTCTTTCCAACAGAGTATTGTTCAGGGCAAGGCTGGAGGGAGGGAGACAGTTCAGGAGGCTGTTACCTCAGTGCCACCTGACATTAAAGCTCCAAGTGCACTGGCAAAGGAAGTCCAGCTAGCTCGCTGGTTCTTAGTGGAATCGGTATGGCGGCTCATTGGATTTGGGAAGCACGAGAGAGGTATTGGTGTGGTTGCTGGAAAGTCCTGAGAGAAGGCAAGATTCGGGTGCCTTCCTGGTATCTATATGACTGGTGTCCAGTCTAACCCATGGACGCATACACCTCGGTTCTTTATCAGTCCTGCACCACTGTTTTAAAAGTTTCAGCGCAGTTGTCCTCTCCTCCCTCCTCCCTCTTTGTCCTCCTTGTCCTCCTCTTCCTCATCCTGCTCCTCCTCGATTCTTCCCCTGATAGTGCCATCTGTCGGATAAGGCTGTCCTCTCTGGGCAGGCAGAAGAGTGTCCTTTCTGAGGCTTGTGGGACTGGTCCCTTAGGCCACGTTGGCACTTGGCCTGCCCTACCATGCTGTTAGCCTAAGACATGGTACGTGGTAAGTGGACCACAGATGTGTCTGCAAACTTGTATTTTTGCTCCTCTTTTCAGAATACAGTGATGGTGGTAGACCACCTCAAGGAAGAAAGAAAGGTTGGAGTTCTTTCCCAGGTAATTCTGGCGAGAGGAGCCCTCATCATGAACACGATGGGTGTGAGCCTCAGCCCTCACACCTCCAGGAGGATGATGGAAACGTGGTGAAGAGGGATGTCCAGGAGGACCCCGAAGTAAGACAGTAAGTGGCCAGGCAGCAGGGTTTGTACACAGCAGCCCCTGGGACTATGCACCTCTCTCACGCTCCGTGGACCTGTTTTTCTTCTCTCACTGCAAAACTGAAGCATGCTAGGAGTGAAATAATGGTTGAGCAATCCTAATTGTAGTGCTGGTGTCAAAGAGACGAGGGTGTACAGAAGACTTTCTTAGCACTTATGGCCACTCACCGTCCTTCTCTCCACATCCCCCCTGCAGCTCTCCCTGTACCATCCGAGGCAACAAGAGAGGAGTGAGATAGCACAGTGAAGGCCACATGCATACTACTGTGTAGAGAAAGAGAAAACCTCTGGAGCGAGAAAGGGGGAGAACACACAAGATGGAACCCCAGGGAGCTGGTTCAGGGTCACAGTGAGTATCCTGTAAAATGTACGGAATGTGCAGGAGAGAAAAGGCAGGGGGAGCTGTGTTGGTCTCATGTAGAGATGCTGGTTTCTTTCACTGGGGACAGTTTGTAATCTGTCCTTTTTATTACCAGGAGTTAACAGTCTTGTTCATCTAAGGGCAGGTTCAGAGAAGCAATGTACAGGGAGCAGGCTGACCGTGAGGAGAACGGAGGAGCCTGTCTCAAAGCAAAGATGGAAACTACTGCCAAGGATATGGAGCAACTCCACATTGGAGGTCTCAGCTTGGCAAGCTGAGTGTGGGAGATGGAGGGTCGAGCCTCTGGAGACCTTGTCTGAGGGGCAAGCAGTGTGTGCGCTGGGTAGGATCTCCTGGAAATTTATAAAAGGAACATCATCTCTGACACCTTGATTATGTGGAAGAGAGTTTGACTGGAGAGAAAGAGTATTTAGGAAATCCATATTACGCACACCCATAAGAAATCATGCCAGTGGTCCCTTCTTTACAAGCCCTTTCAAGCTCAGTAGAAGGCCGGAAAAGAAGAGGAAAAGGTTCCTCCTGCAGCCTAAATTCCCTGTTGTCTGTCCTCTCTCCCATGCCTTCTTTTCATCCTTAGATTCCTTATGGGATAAAGTATGACAAAACATGGCTAATGAACTCAATCCAGAGCCATTGCAGTGTCCCTTTCACTGCAGTGGACGTAAGAAAGAATGCCGAAGCCAGACGCATGGGCACAGGGAAGGGGGAGAGAGAGAGACCTGGTTTAGCAGGGTCTGTTGGCTTCTGATTCTATTGCTGTTGCATTCAATCCCTGTAGTTACACTTTATGCAAAATGGGGCTCAATTCTTTGTCCAGGAAGCTAGCACTGCCTCTGCATTGATGGATGTCAGCTACAAGATTCGTGACGAGGAGAGCCGAAAGGTGTGTGTCGAGGGCGTTACGTGTACCTCATCCTGAGGAAGGAGTACAGGCCAGGGGCTGGTTGTCTTCTTTGGAACTAGAGTTCCTGGTGCTTACCCCACCTCTTCTTCCTGCAGATACCTGTCTTTGTCAGCCCCTCCTCTGTTCCCTACTCTGTGCGGGATAAGTTGAAGCCAGAAGAAATGGAGCAGCTAAAGGTAATGGAGACTCACGGCGAGTAGTGTGCCAGCGCTCAGACCCACCTCTCCTTCCTCCAGACCCCCGTCCCCCTTGCCCCCGATTTCCCTGCCACCACCACAGCCTCAGAGCGGCTCTCTCCATCTCTCTCTCCGCAGCTGACCTTGAGCAAACGATTTGATGTCTCCCAGCAAGCTCTTGACCTGCAGAGGCTCTACGTTGACCCAGATATGGCTGACAGCAGTAATTCTAGGGCGTGCGAGGGCAGAGGGGTCTTCCTGGAGGGAGACTTAGGGATGGTAACGTGGGGAGGGGCTGGTACTGGCCCCACACCCCACTCAGCCATCCTATTCCCTCCCCTCTCCTTCCTGAAGACTTGGTGGGCTATGATATTGATATATTTCTGAATCGAAGAAGCTGCATGGCTGCCACCCTGCAGGTCATCGAAAGGTATTTCCCTGAGGTAAGGCTGTAGGCCCAGTGCTGGTATTAGGGTAGGGGGTGGAAGAGATGGGATGGAGGGCAGATTTGTCTCCAAGGTCCTAGATAGTAACCTTCACTCTACCTCTTCTTGCCCCAAAGCTGTTGTCCTTGAACTTGAGCAGCAACAAACTGTACCAGCTGGATGGCCTGTCTGACATTATACAGATGGCCCCCACGGTCAAGATCCTGAACCTCTCCAAAAATGAGGTGAGAAGAGGGAGCCAGGTCAAACTTGGGTTGAGAGTGGGGGTTGGGGCATGTTAGTGGCCATCAGAGTGATGACAGGAGGCAGGTGAAGGTACCTGTGTGGGAGGGAGGAGTCTGGGGGTGCAGGGATCTGGATGTCCCTCTTTCCCTGGGATTCCTTTTCCCACTTCTGCCCCATATTTCTCAGCTGACGTCTGTGTGGGAGTTGAACAAGATGCAAGGGCTGAAGCTTGAAGAGCTGTGGCTGCAAGGGAACCCATTGTGTGACACTTTCCCAGACCAGTCCACCTATGTAAGGTCAGTGTGAACACCCTGTCACCCTTCTTGGTGACCTTCACCCATGGGAGCCTAGACTATCTGTGACAGTGCCCCTTTGCCAAAGGTGGCAGCCCTGGTCTTCTGGGAGGATCACAGGCCCCACCTTCTGCTTTCTCTGTGCCTATCACCGGTGAGGAGTTTCCTTCCCCTGACCTGCTCACCTCTGCAGGCGCTCTGGGGTCTGTTTCCAGCTCTCTGCGCCCAGCTCTATTCCAGCAAGGCCTCCCAAAAGTGTGCCCCAGGAAGCAGGGCTTCTCCTCCTCACCAGGACCAGGAGCGACCATCCTTGATCCAGATGCTGGCGCCCTGGACTGAGAAGGGTCCTCCAGTCCAGGGCCTCTTGCTGAGAGAAGCCTTCCTTCTTCGTGCTGAGATGGGGTTTGCCTCCCCCGTTCTGAGAGGGGCCCTCTTCCCCTTCCTCCAAAGGGATCGCCCCTCCTCCGCCAGGTTGCCATGGGGGCTTTCCTGTGCCATGCTGAGGGCTGAGGCCATGGGTGGCTGCTGTCATGACATCCATTCTGCTGGCCCAGTGCCAGGAGCTGGACCCTCCTTGGGAAAAAGCAGGGCTCCCTGAGTCAAGGGGCCAGACGTGGGCCCCCGCCAGTGATCAGAGGGCTTCCTGAGGCAGGAGTGGAAGGCAGAGGGCAGAGGTGGTAGAGGAGACCGAAGGACAGGCCTCTCAGGGGCACTTCCCATCCCTCCCTGCACACGTCACATCATCCCGCCTGGTCCTTCACAGGAGCCCTGGGCAGCCTGAGACAGGTATGATTCCTCAGATAAAGAACCAACTCAGAGAGGTGCAGGGGTCATCGGGAGAGAAGACGGTGATCATCAGAGGGGGCCACGGATCCTCAGCCCCATACTGAGCTGGGACCTGACCCTTTCCTCCTTCTGAGGAAGATCTGCCCCCATGGCTGCTCGGTTTCCCATGCCCAAGTCTGGCTGAGCTCACACAGGTGCCAAAGTTTCAGCCAGCATCCAGTGGGCCCCCAGCCCAACATGTGCATATTTTCCATTCCTACCTGGTGTGTCTGGGCGATTCTGGGGCAGGTGAAGAGCCGCAATAAGTGTGCCGTTTCCCCTTTCTTCTCTCTTCTTCCCTGATCCTGACCACGGGAGAGCTTCTTTCCCTTCCCTTTGTTGTCTCTCTCTCCCCTGTCTCTGTGCCCCTATGTCTCTCTCATCTCTCCCTTCCTACCTTCACTCCCTTTCTGTCTTCATCCCCTCCATCTCCCTCCCTGAGCCCCACCTCACTCACCTCGCTGGCCCAGCATCCTGGGCCATCCCTGGGGGGTGTCCGGGTCTTGCCAGAGTGCTGGACCCCCAGTGAGGTAGCAGAGCCCCGGGCTCCCACTCCATCCCCTCTTCTCCCCACAGCCTTCAGTGGGGCCCTGGAGGAAGGGAGGGAGGAGAAGGAAGCCCTGCAGCAGGGGTTTGAAATGCTGGTCCCTGTGGCACTGGAGAAGGGAGTCCGAGTAGTCTGGGTGGGAGCTACCTAGGCGAAAGAAAGGAAGGGAGGGAGGGAAGGAATATTAAAGTGAAGGTACTGAGAGAGGTGAGGAGACAGTGCCTTTCAGACAGTAAGATGACAGATGCTCAGTGCTCAACAGGCAAGTGGACTGAAAACCCTTAAAATCAGGAGCAGAGGTGGGCAAAGGGTGCTGCTGGATTGGCCAGAACACACTGATCTCTGTTTATGGTATTACTGTTTTAACTCAAAGGAAGCATTGCAACCTTGAACTATCAACCACCTCTTCTCTATTTTTGGTTTTGGACAGGGCCATCAGAGAATGTTTCCCGAAGTTGTTACGCCTGGTAAGTGCCTACGTAAATCATTGTCTCTTACGAATGTCGGTGGCCTCTGCACCTGCCCTCAAGCCCTTTGGGTCTTGCCTAGATCACATATTAGCATCAGAACCTTAACCATTTTGGGGGACATGGACTCCTGAAAATGACATGGATATACTTGCTGGAAAAATACCCATAAATACAGACACACACAAGTTGCATATAACACTAGAGACTTCCAAGACCGCATGATGAAGACATCCACTGTAAGCTCTCCCATGGAATTTCCAGTGCCCTTTCACACCTGACCTCTGACAGTCACCCTCACACCTGACCTCTGACACTCACCCTCCTGGACCCATCTTTTTCCCCGGTAATCCAGGGGCACTCCCCTGGTCTCTACTCCTGATTTCCTCTTCCCTTCTCCAGGATGGGCAGGAGTTACCCTCACCAATTAACATTGACGTTGACACTCCCTACGTAATAAAGCCCTGCAAGGTGACGAAGAGGATCAAACAACATTTAGCGAGGTGCAGGAGAGGCTTTATCAGCCACACAATCTCAAATGCCTTTTGATTCCAGGAAAGCTATAAAGGATCTGAGACACTGAAGAGTCTAATCCTGTAATTCCTGCAGCTGTAAGTACCCTTGGGAGTCTGAGCAAGGGGAGGAGGGCTAGGACAGTTGCGGCCACCTAAGCACAGGTCTGCTCATCGGACTTCTCACGTCTCATTTGAGGTCCAGACCACAGAGATCTGTCCTCATTACTCCCCCTCAGGTATTACTTGATCCATGACTGTGGAGACCGACAGCATCTCCTTGGTGCTTATCACAAGGAGGCCTGCTTCTCCCTGACCATTCCCTTCCACTCCGAGGACGCAGCCATGTGAGCATCACAGCCCAGACTCTGCTCCCGGGCCGTGTGGCTCCCCAGCAGACACAGGTAAGCTCCTACATACGCCCACCACCCACTCTTCCTCTTTGTCTCCTAGAAGCACCTTGTGCAAGTACTTCAAGGACAGCAGGAATATAAAGAAGCTCAAGGACCCCCATGCTTGTGTGATGGGAAAACTGGGTGGGAAAGGGCGGTGAAGGGGTCAATCATAGGGCCCAGGGCGTGGCAGCCCCTGACCTTCGCTCGCTTCCCCTCCCCTCACAGACCTGCGGGTCCAGCTGCTGAAGCACACAAAACGTGTCATTGTGCACACTCTCTGTGTGTTGCCCAATACTCAGCATGACTTCAGCTCCTTAGTGGTGGACACGTGGTTCCAAACAGTGAGCACCTGCTTTCTCCCTCGGGTGGGCCCAGGAAGCTGCAGGTGGGTGGGCGGTGGAGGTGGTGACTGGGCGCCTGGGCTCTTCCCTTTCAGTAGATGATGCTCTGCTTTTCTGTCAACAGGGTGTTCAAGGAAGGTGAGTGTGTGTAGACCCCCCTCCCCAGATGCTTCACTGCTCTCTCCCCCTGCCCAGGGTGTGCAGGGCAGACAGGCGTGGGGACACAGGCTGTGGAATTTGGTGGCTCTCATCCCAGATCCTTACTCTGAGAACTTGGGCCGTTACTGAACCTCTCAGTTTCCTCATTTGCAAAATGGGGTAGTAGTATCCACCTCTTGGGCGGCTGTGAAAAATGCATCCCGTGAACTTGTGTAGTGTTTGTCATGGGCCCTGTCACTGGGCGCAGACTGCTCTTATAGTTGCCCTCCCCATACCCGACACCTTGGCCCCTGTGAACAACTACCCTCTCAGCATGAATGTCCAGTCACACCCTGACTGGGGACCACCACGTGAACATGTACAGCACGTGTGGCTCTAAGGGGTACTGTTGTTTGTTTGCTGTTGAAGTGGAAGGAAGTTCTCAGGGCTGTGTGCGTGCCTTCACCCGGATCTTCATCGCTACCCCTGCCAGCTATGCCAGGTGAGAGCCCTGTTGTGGGCGGGAATGCCCATCCCAGCCTGGGCTCAGGGGCGTGGGAATGTGGTGGCGCAGATCTTAGGTTTACTCAGAATTGTGGAAAGCCAGCAGGGAGATCCCAGGAGCAGTCTAGCCTAGTGGTTAAGAAGAACATGGGATCTGGAAGTGTGAGTCTTCATGGGCTCTGGAATCAGCCTATGGGTTCTCTCCTTGACCCAACACTCACTCGCTGTGTGACCTTAGTCAAGCCACATGACTTCTCTGTGACTCAGTGTCTTCTTCCGAGAATGGCGATCAGACCGTCCACTCCTTGGGCTGTGGTAAAGGGTAAATGCGAAATTGCCCGTGGGTTGGGGATAAACCTATAAATCGAGTGAAGGTGGTAGACAGTCTCTCCAAAGGTGGGCTTTGTGGGGAGGGGCAGAGGTACCAGTAACGGAACCTGGGATACAGACACAGCAGGGATATGGAAGGATATGGAAGGAAACTAGTTGCTGAGTGGCAGTGGGAGCAGGATCGTTGTTTGGGGTGTGGGGTGGTCCATGTGTCCATGTCTGAGGGCTCATTTTTCCTCCAGTCTATGCATTGTGAATGACGAACTGTTTGTGAGGGATGCCAGCCCCAGTGAGACTCAAGAGTGCGTTCTCCATCTCAATGCCTACACCCTCCTCCCTCTCCCAGGAGCAGCAGGAAATGGTGCAGGCTTTCTCCACCCTGTCTGGGATGAAACTCGAGTGGTCTCAGAAGTGAGTGCTGGGTGTGCATGGGAATGTGCGGGGGAGTGAATCATGGAAACTCGAAAGCAATTTGGAAAAATAGCTTTTTGAATATTTTGCTTCCAAAAAATAAAAGTGAGCCCATGAAAAAGGTGTCATACTATTACATGTGTAAAGGTTTTTCGAGATGGTATAATGCTCAGTGACATTATCTTGTGTATGGAAAATCCAGGACAATCCACACACACACCAACCAACCAACCAACCAACAAAACACCCTACTAGAGCTGATAACCAAGTTCACCAAAGTTGCAGGATACAAGACCAATATACAAAACTTATTTGTATTTCCGTGTACTTGCAATGAACAACCCAAAAATGAAATTAAGAAAGCAAGCCCAGTTACCATGGCATCAAAATAGTACAACGCTTTGATACAAATGTAACAAAAGAAGTGCAAATCTCATACTCCCGAGTCTGTAAAATGCTGTTGAAAAAAATAAAGAAGACCTAAATAAATGGAAAGACACTCCATTTTCATGGGTTGGAAGGCAATATTATTACATTGGCAGTACTACCCAGAGCAAACTAGGTTCAATGCAGTCCCTATCAGAATCCTTCTTTGCAACAATTGACAAGGTTATCCTAAACTTCCTGTGAAAGTGCACCAAAACAATCTCGAAAGAGAAGAACAAAGTTAGAAGACTCACACGTCCCAATTTCAAAACTTGCTACAAAGCCACAGTAATAAAGACTACGTGGTACTGGCCTGTGGACAGTGTATGAATCAGTGGAATAGAACTGAGAGTCCACAGATAAACCCTCACATTTATGGTCAACTGATTATCAACCTGACAGAGTGCTGAAAATATCTGATGGGAAAATAATAGTGTTTTCAGCAAATGGTGCTGGGACAAGTGGGTATCCGCATGCAAACCAAAGAATTTTGACCCCTGACTCACACTCCATGTACAAACATAGCCTGAAAATGGATCAAAGTCTAAAAGTAAGAGCTAAGACTATAAAAATCTGGGAAGGAAACGTAGGTGTAAGTCTTCACAAATTAGGCAATCATTTCTTACATATGACACCAAAAGCACAAGCAACCAAAAAAAAAAGTAGATAAATTGTTGACTTCATCAAAATTAAAACCTTTTGAGCATCAAAGCACAGTATCAAAAAGGTGAAAAGCCCACCAACAGAATAGGAGAAAATATTTGCATATCACATATCTGGCAAGAATATGTGAAGAACCCTTGCAACTCAACAATACAAAGGCAAACACCCCAATTTTTTTAAACTGGGGAAAGGCTCTGAATGGACATTTCTCCAAAGGAGACATATAAATGGCCAAGAAGGAAATGAGAAACTTCTCAACATCGTTAGTCATCAAGGAAATGCAAATTGAAACCACAGTGAGTTACCAGGTCACACCCACTAAGATGGCTTTAATCAGTGAAACAAATGATAACAAGTGTTGGTGAGGATGTGGAGACATTGGAATTCTCGTGTGTTACTGATGGGAATATAAAAGGGAGCAGTGGTTTGGGAAAACAGTTTGGCACTTCCCCGAAATGTTAAACATGGAGTTACCATATGACCCAGTAATCCCACTCCTAAGTATCCCACCAGGAGAAATGAAAACATATGTTCACTCCAAAACTTGTTCAGGAACGTTCATAGCAGCATTATTCATAATAGCCGAAAAGTGGAAACAACCCAAATGTCCTGTAGCTGATGAATGGATGAATAAATCTTGGTACATCCATGTAGTAGAATATTATTCAGTCATAAAAAAGAATACTGTTCTGATACACGTCATGACATGGATGAACCTTGAAAACATGATGCTAAGTGAAAGAAGACAGTCACAAAATGTCAAATATTGTATGAAATGTCCAGAATCGGAAAATCCACAGGGTCCAAAAGCAGATTAGTGGTTGCCAGGGTCTGGGGGAAGGGGAGGAATAGGGAGTGATCACTAATGGTTAAGGAGCTTCTTTTTGGGGTGGTAAAATTACTTTGGAATTAGATAGTTGTGGTGGTTGCACAATCGTGTGAATGTACTAAAAAGCACTGATTTGTATACTTTAAAATGGTGTGTGCATTATATCTCAATAAAAGATGGTTGGAGACTTGTACTTTAGAATTTTCCATTTGTTATTTTCTGGAACATCTTTCTTGATCAGTATATATTGAATTCCCTTGTTCTTTTGAACAGCTCTACTTTTCTGTTTTGAATTCTAGTGGGCATGAATGCTAGTGATAGATGGTTTGCTTTTCACTGGGTCTTTCTTCGTCATTACACATAGTGTTCATACTGGTACATGTGTCCCAGCAAGAAAGTGGCATAGATTTAGAGGTGGCATTGCATGGTCAGCGTGACTGTACTGTGGTACTAATGGAGATCACCTGTTGTTCTCCCACTGCAGGTGCCTTCAGGACAATGAATGGAACTACACCAGAGCTGGTCAGGTCTGCAGTATGCTCAAGGTGAGGTCTGGAAATCAAGTGGGTTAGAGATGAACGTTTCTGGGCCTTCAGGGAGGCCAAGAAGGTGGAGGCCGGTGGCCTGGGAATGGAACTCGGGGAGCAGGCTCTTCTGACATTCTGACTCCTTCTCTCCAGACCGAGGGCAAGATCCCAGAGGAGGCCTTCAAAGAAATCCCCTAAAAGGAGTGCTTGGATGTCATCTTTGTCTTCATCCACATCATCTTTTCTCTCCAGCCTCAGGCCACGCCCATGCCTGGAGTTGGAGGCCTGGCTGACCAAGAAGCCAAAGTTACGTTGTAGGCCAGGTAACATAGCCACCTGAAGGGTCAGCTGTTCTGTGTCTTTTCCCCACTCACGATTGCTGTTTGGTTTCATAATAAAGAGTGCTGTTGCAAGCTGTATGTTGTGTGTCCTCCATTGCTCTTCCCTGCCCCAATCACGAGCCAGTAGGTCCAGGCCTCAACGTCCCTGCCTTCATCCCTGAGGAGGAGGCACCTTCTAACCCAAACAAGTGGGTTTTTTATACACTTTTTTTCCATTTATAAAACATGAAGATTCTGCACAGAAATGGGATAACAATGGGATTTAAAGTGCATGCATCAAAACTCCTTTATGTCCCAGCTAGATGGGTTTACATATGTCATGTGTCAAGTTGGGAAATTTAAAAATACATGTAGACAATTGAAAATGGAAACACAGCATACCAAAACCTGTGTGACAGAGCAAAAGCAATGATCAGAGGAAAATCTATTAGTTGTTAGGTAAACGCAAAATAAAGCCACAATGGGATGCCACTTCACACCTACTACATTGCCTATAGCTTTTTATTTTAAGGAACGTAACAAGATGAACTTTGGTGAGGATGTGGAGAAATTGGAACTTCTGTACATTGTTGGTGGGGATACAACTGGTTTCACTGCTGTGGAGAACAGTTTGTTGGTTCCTCACAAAATTTAACACAGAAGTACCATATGACCCAGCTACTCCACTCCTAGGTGTACACCCAAAAGAATTGAAAGAGGCGCCAAAACAAATTATTGTACGTGAATGCTCACAGCAGCATTATTCATTATATTCAAAAGGTTGAAACAACCCATCTGTCCATCAAGGGATGAGTGGATAAACAAATTGTAGTATATACACACATTGGAATATGTATTTTTGCAATGATTGAAATCCTTGTGATATGTGCTCACGGAAGTTGTCCTTCTATTTTATCAGTGGTCAGAGAGTGACTTGACAGAGATTTCCTGAAGGGCCTGGAGCCAAAAAGGAAAGGAAAACAATATTGTCTAGTCTTTGCAGATTGGCTTCTGATCGGGGGCAGTCCACCAATGCTTAGCCAGGCTGCCTGCAACTCTGCCTTAGCCTTCACCTCCTGCTTTTGAGGAGCCCAAAGGTCAGCCACATGTGCAAGCCTGGCTTCCTGTCAGACCTTCTGAGCCTGTGTCCTACCTTGTGCATATGCATTGCACTCTGGAATCTATGCTATGCCTTCAAAACTCTTATTCCCCCAAGAATTTTCCTCATCACCCTCACCCTTTACAGGCTTTGCGGGCTCTCTGCTGCTTGACTTATCTTATTTCCCTTGCCCCAGGCAGCTATGGGTACGGTACGTTTTTAGATGTTTTTGAGAGACGCAACTGAGAAAGCCACTCCGTGCCTGGGAGGGGCAGTGGGAAGCAAAACTCATCCTCTGTGCCATTCCCTCAGAGGTCCTCCATAGAGGTCAGAAGGCACAATCACAGTTTTGGGGGAGAACAAGATCCATATTATGACCCCTGGGACCAGCCAAAAGCACCGTGAATATGGCTGCAAGTCTCATGGGAGATCCAAGAAGGAAAGAGATATGAGAACATATGTATATGTATAACTGATTCACTTTGTTATAAAGCAGAAACTAACACACCATTGTAAAGCAATTATACTCCAATAAAGATGTTAAAAAAAAAGGAAACAGTTTGGGTTTAAGTGGTAGGTTACAAAAAGCAAGACAGAATATTCCTGACACGACATGATACAATGTGAAAAAAAAAACTCAGGGTATAAAACTGTATATTACAGTATGGTTCCTCAGAAGAAGATATTAATGAATGTTAATGTTTTTATGGTTCCTCAGAAGAAGATATTAATGAATGCTTATGTGTTTTCTTTTATGTTTTGTTTTATTTTTAGCAGTACGCGGGCCTCTCACTGTTGTGGCCTCTCCCGTTGTGGAGCACAAGCTCCACACACACAGGCTCAGTGGCCATGGCTCACGGGTCCAGCCGCTCCGCGGCATGTGGGATCTTCCCAGACCGGGGCATGAACCCGTGTCCCCTGCATCGGCAGGCGGACTCTCAACCACTGCGCCACCAGGGAAGCCCTATGTTTTTATGTGTAATTATAAACATTAAGAAGTCAAGGCAAAGGAACGCGTGAGAGCATCAACTATGTTTATAAATGGGTGACTGGAATGCACAATAGTTATTCGTTCAGATCTATGCTTTGCTTGTATAAAAGGATGTTTGTGTCTGGGTCAGTGTCTTCCCAGGTGCTTAGGGTGAAGCACTATACCTGTTGGCTCCTTACGCAACATAACAAGGACAATTTATCATTGATAAGCATATATGAGTATCTCCTCGCTGATTAACAAGCTGCAACACTTTACATGACTCACCCAACTTTTCCTGATCTGCGGTTCCTTACATGTAAGAATCAGGGGTTAGGGCTAACCGCCAGCTTAATCAAGATATAGCACACATACCACACTCCCTAAAGGTTCCCAGTTAATCTCCTCTTCTTCCTCTGGCCCCATACAAACTTTGATCTGCTTTCCATTTCCATATATTAGCTTTTCCTGCTCTAGAATTCCGTATAAATGGAATCACACATCCTGTACTCCTTTGTGTCTGGCTTCTTTAACTTAACATAATTTTTTTTTCTTGAGATCCACCCGTGTTCTTGCCTTTTTATTGCTGGGTAATATACCATTGTATTGATTTGTTTACCTTTAATGTTGTTTTAATCAAGTTTCAGGAGGAAGTGAAAGTCCAACCTCCTGTTCAATCAGCCATCTTCCTGGTCAGTGTTCTTTTCTTATACAATGGATATAATTTCAACCTTTACCACTCCATTATCTCTCTAGAGAAATACTATCTTTAGGTCTTTTCCAGCCTTTTCTCTTTTTCCTGTTCCCTCAGTACCAATCACTCCATGTGTTGCGTTTGTTCTGTCCCTTCCATGCTTACCCTGTGTTGTGACCGTCTCCTGAAGAGAAGACTTCACTGTCGAGTCAGCCCTGGGCTCCTGGTTGCTTGGCTTTAACCCATACCTGGCTCTGGGCTCATCAGTGGTTTAGCCTTCCTCCCTGACCCTAGCACTGGGGGCCCCTGCCTTACCGCTGTGTTTTCCCATTCCCTCCCTCCCTCGCTCGCTCCCTCCCTCGCTCGCTCCTTCCCTTCCTTCTTTCCTTCCTTGAAGGAGAGCACTCTCCGTTTATTACATGGAAATTCTTATTTCATACTTTCCACCACAGTTATGTATTTATTATGATTGGAATATTCTATGTATTCATTATTGGAATATTATTTTTCCAAAACCATGATTATAAGATTTTTAAACTAAATATTGTAAAATACTTGCACCCTCATCATTTAAATTGTTCAGGCAGTTCTCAACCTCGTTTACACACTAGAGTCACTTGGAAAGATTGAAAAAGTCACTAGCGCCAGCCTACACCCACAACAATTAAAACAGATTTGGGGGCAGAACCAAGCAATCACATTTTTAAAACTCGTCATGTGATTGCAGTGTGCAACCAAGGTTGAAAACCACTATGTTAAAAGGCATCAGCTTTGGGGTTATGCTTGGCAGAAGACCTTAGGAATGCCTGCCACCTCACTTTGCTGACTTTCTACTCAGTGCTCTTTTTGGGGACCTAGTGATTCCATTAGCTTACAGTGGGGATTGGTAAACTGTGGTCCACGAGCCTGTTTCTGTATGACCTGCAAGCTAAGAATGTTTTTCCATAGTCGAATGGTTAAAATAATCCAAAGAAGAATCGTATTTCCCAGCATGTGAAAAGTATTTGAAATTCACATGTCCCTGTCCGTATATAAAGTTTTATAGGAAGACAGCCATGCTGTGTCTGTGGCAGCTTTTGCTCTACAATGCAGATCTGAGTAGCTCCATCGGAAACTGAAAGGCCTGCAAAGCCTCAAATATTGGTCATCTGGCCCTTTCCAGGGAAAGTTTTTTGAGCTCTGGCTTAAGAGCATGTGTCCTTAAAGCAAATGCACAGTAACAGCAGTAAATGGCTGATGGTCCCTTTGGCTAAGCCTGGGAAGAAAATTTACTGTAGTTACTTGCGACTTCACTGTAGGGTCCTTCCTTCGTAGTCCACTCATTCATCGTGTTCTGGGTCAAGTGTGGGAATTGAGTAAGGGACTACCATTCGCCATGACGATAGCTCGAGTCACCAAATCTATAGCTTGATTTATTTATTTTTAAATTCTTATATTTTATTATAAATAAATACTTATCTATATTTTATTTATTTTTACACTGATCAAATGCAACTTTGGAGTATGTTCAGATATTTCAAGATCCAAGGGATCTGTTGATCAATTAGCCACCTTCAACGATTGCTGTAGGTCAAACCAATGTGACTACCCTTCCAGCCTTGCTGCTTATTAAGGTAAACAGCACTCACCTTGAGGCAGGAGGTTAAGTGCTCCTACTGGGCCTGCAACTCCAGGACCACAACATCCCCACTGAAATGAGGGGATCTCCCATCTCATCTGTGGCCTACACAAGTCAGCCACTTCAGAACACTTCGAAGATGAAGATGCCCTCCGCACTAATGTGTTTCTCAGTGCTGTGGGGAAGGGAGCGTCCTCTGAATCCCTAACAGCATCTGTTTGGTCCACCGACACATTGACTTCAAAGGCATTTCATTCAAGTGACCACAGGCAACAACTCCTGCAACTGTTTCACCATTGTGTGCCATGGAACACCAATATTTCATCCTCTAATGTCACTTGGATCCTTACTGTCTTCAGATCCACCTAAGCCAAATACCTTTTCTCAGATTCCCACTTCCTTCAGGGCCCCTGGCTTGCAACCACTTTTGGTGTCAAGTACTCTTTCAATCAAAGTTCCCACTTGCCTATGCCAGCTATTCGTTCTAATAGCTATTTTATAAAAATAAGACACTGTTAATAAAATATATTCCATAGCTGACAAAAACTCTGTGAGGGCCAGAAAAGCCGGCTTGGATGCTATGCAGCCAGGGGAAGTCCACTCACGCTTTGGGACTGCT